GAATATCTCGCGGGCCTAAGTGAGTAGGTTGGAATGTTTCCTGTTTACTGGCAGGGGACGCGAGCCAGTTTGGTAACCTTGTTGAAAAGACCTCCCTAGATACTGAGCCTGGCCCTTCTGGCTGCCGACTGCTACCAGCAGGAGAGTTACAAATGCATAAGAACCTGAGTACCTTCAAAATGCACAATCTTTGAATGGTTTTAAGGTTTTGATCGCTAAATCTGACTATTCCAAATTGAGGGCTGTAATCAAAGCCCTCTGACTTCAGTAGGTTTAGGATTGAGCTTTTATTACTGGGAATGTCTCATGGACTAAACCTTTCATTTTCTAAATCTAAAATGAAGATATGAATATGCATATTCACTGTGATGTTAACAATAAAGCTAATTAATCTGATATGCCTAGGTAAACCCTCACCATGCAAATATAAGTCAAAATGTCTTGCACATGCTATGCAAATTCAGGAGTCTTCAATGGGTCCCTGTTCCATCGTGGAGTCGATTCCAGAAAAGCTTGAAAAAGCAGTGGAATAACTTTAACATTATTAACCCACATAAAGACTCATGAATATAGCACAAAATCAGTCATGTTGATATTGGCTCCCCCCAGAAAGAAAAAGAGATCAAAGGGGTTTTTTCCCCTGAAAATATTAGCCTTGAGTTGGTTTTCAGATCTTGAATGTGAAATTGCATTTACTTTAAACGCGTTCAAGGCTCACTACTGAAGCATTCTTGTTATTCTGGTTGAGTAGGCCTTTTATAGGAGGTATTTACTTTCCTATTTATATAGCTATTTCTTCGGAACTGTAAGGAGATGAATTTCTTATAGAAATGGGTTAGGTTTTTTCAGGAATTGATATCCCAAAGAATGACACATTTAGGTTTTGGGAGGCAGAGGATGCCTCTGGAAAACACTCAGAAAAACAAACCAAAATTTAAAAAAAGAAAAATGGACAATAAATGGTTACATTTTCATGGCAGCACCAGCTTATTTGGTCTGGGTTATTGCGAGATTAAAATCCATGTAATGTCAGGTGTATCCAAATGGCCAAGGCAAGGAGGACATATGGGTTTCAGTGAAAGCACTTATGTCAAAACTGAGCTCTTCTGAGAATACAGCAAAGAGTTCTGTGGCACCTCAGGCATGGTCTACAGTAAAGGGCAAAGTCAACTTCAGATATGCAACTCCAGCTATGTTAATTATGTAGCTGGAATCAAAGCATCTTAACTCGCATTTTGGCACCATCCGCACAGCAGGAGGTCAACGGGAGCAGAACGAGAGCCTGTTCTCAGTAGTGACAGATGGCAGAACAAGGAGCAATGGTCTCAAGTTGTGGTGGGAGAGGTCCAGGTTGGATATTAGGAAAAACTATTTCACTAGGAGGGTGGTGAAGCACTGGAATGGGTTACCTAGGGAAGTAGTGGAGTCTCCATCCCTAGAGGTATTTAAGTCTTGGCTTGACAAAGCCCTGGCTGGGTTGATTTAGTTGGAATTGGTCCTGCCTAGAGCAGGGGGCTGGACTTGATGACCTTCTGAGGTCTCTTCCAGTTCTATGATTCTATCATTCAATTTTAGGGGTTGGTGGAATACTGTTGACGCTTTGTGCCAGATTTTGGGATGCTGGCTGCTTCCTTATCTGACTTGACTAGAAACTCAAAACCCAGAAAGGTTCAATGATTGGCTGAGTGAGAGAGCGCTTTCCAATCCCTCAAAGACCTTTTAACTAAGGCCCCAGTTCTGTTTCACCTGGATTTTTTGAGACCTTTTATTTTACAGACAAATGCATTTGAGGTGGGGCTACAAGCTGTGCTGTCCCAGGAGGTGGAAGGAGAAAAACATCCTGTCCTCAGTATGAGCAGGAAGTTGTTCCCTCGAGAACAAAAGTACTCCACAGTAGAGGAGATGGCCCTAGTAGTAAAATGGGCAGTCGACATCTTGAAGCAAGCTGCTGAGCAACCCGTTCCGACTGGTCGCCAGCCACACCCCATCGTGATGGTTACATAGCATGAAGGAGATCAAACTGAGGATCATGAGGTGGTACTTATCACTGCAGCCCTATGACTTTTAGGTAGGGCACATGCTAACACAGACTTTTTCTCCCAGGCATGTGTAGAGGACCCCCACTCCAGGACCTTTGCCTGATACCCACTTAAGGGGGAGGGTGTGTGACAAGGTGAATCAAGTCAGTACTGGAACCAACACAGTTACCCTGGCCTGGCTGGCTGAGAGGGTCCCACCCTATTGGGCATGCTCCAACTGGAGGCCGGTTATAAAGGCCTCTGGAGCACCTCAGTCAGGACTGACTGCTGAAGGGGAAGGAGGTGCTCCAGGAGGTCCAAGGGAGGAAGTGCAACTGGGCCAGGAGGGGACACAGAAGCCGCGGGATCTGCACGTGAGCATGGAGAGGACATGGGACAAGTTCTGGTAGGAAGTAGCCCAGGGTGAAGAATTGCTCCCTGAGCGTTCAGCGTGCTGCAGCAGGATTCCACACTAAGCAAGCAGTGGGCTACGCCACTGCCAGCTGGGCTCTGGGCTGGAACCCAGTGAAGAGGGAGGACCTGGGTCCTCCCCACTGACATACTGGGCTATAATACCCTGCATACAGGGGTGGACATATTGACTGAAGCAACTGGGCTGTAATGCCCTGAATTCAAGGAAAGCGTATATTGACTGAGGGTGTTAGGCTGTTTCATGAATAGACAGAGTGGTTGTTAGGTCAACTCAATGGCTATGTCTACACGCGTGGCTTCTTGTGAAAGAAATATGCAAATGAGGCTAAGCGTGGAATATCACTGAGCCTCATTTGCATACCTAATGAGCCACCATTTTTGCAGAAGAGACTCTTGCGCCAGAAGGAGCTGTCTACACTGCCCTATCTTGCACAAGAAAAACCCTCTTGCGCAATGCCATTATTCCTGAAAATAATCAGAATACTGGCTCATTAGGTATGCAAATGAGGCTCCGTGATTTTCCACGCATAGCCTCATCTGCATATTTCTCATGCAAGAAGCCGGGAGTGTAGACATAGCCAATTAAGAGAGTAAGTTCGAGGGGGCTTCCAAGATCCTGTTGCTCCTTGAGATACATGATTTGTTCTTTACAACTAAGGTAGATATTAGGGGTGAGAGAGAGAAAAGAACAGGGGTCTGGGATTTTGCAGGCCTACAGGAAGGAATAGCGTCTGTAGTATTACAGTCTTCTCACATTGGAATGTTAGCATGTACTCTTCGTCCCATGGGAGGGAGTAACCAGCCGTGTTAGTCTGTAACATTAAAAACTACATAGTATCATGAACTTTTGTGGGCAAAACCCACTTCCTGAATTTCACCTTTTGTAAGTACACGTCATGTACAGTGACATCTTTTTTGCTATTTAACATTTAAAGCTATAATCTGCTGGAATTCTAGTCATTGTATACTAAGATGCCTATGTGCATGTCTATTCTTTTTTCTCTTAACATCTAATTTGCTCCTTAATTCCAAAGATTTGACTGCACACAAGTTGACACTATAAAGGCCACAAACAGATTTCATTTATGCCTTATAATATCAATGCTTCCAGCTGAATCAAATGTGCATAAACAATTTGAATATGGATTATCATAGTTATTTCAACAATGTGCATTTTTATTTATAATTATTTTCAGAGCGCACTGCATTAGCAAGCACAATCTTAGTCATTTCCCTCTGTGGAATGAGAGGATTTGATTTTTTTTACAAATGATTTCTCTAAAACTTTCTACTGTCTCTCCTAGGGCAGCAATAAATAAATAGATGTGACTCAGTATGTGACTGTGAATGGAAAATTGTTCTCTGCTTTTTGTAAGTAGTAATGACAGTTCATCAGAAAATTATTTACAGATTCTAAAGCAGATCACAAAGAACTTGGACTCACTTTTTTTTTATTGTGAATGACAGCATTAAGAATGTTACCCCTCTTAACTCTGCTACACCCTGCTAGAATATAATTTACTCAGAACAAAAGAAGAACATTGACAGCCTTCTCCAGGAACTTGTTTCACACCAAGTTTTTTTTCTTTTTATCTCAAAGATTACAGAGCACATGTAAGCAATATTTTGCATTAATCTAACCTCTTCCATTTGGACCATATTAACACACCAAGACAGGTTTATGTATCTCACACGTCAGACCCTATCAAGAAACTTGGTAGTGGCGGCTTGATAAGGACACCATACCCTATTGAACTTGTTCTAAAAATGACAACATCAAAACACTCATCTACTCTCACTTTTTAATGACCTTGGTGTCTGCTTATTTAGTTGTTACCAACTGCTTTACTATATGTATGTTTAGCGTACAAATTTAAATGACCAAAATGCTACATTGCCTGGCATTTCAGTTATATTTTTATATTGTACACGCTTCCATTATGTGCTAGAGAAAACTGTGTGATCTATGGTTATTTAACTTTTCAGCCTTCTCTGATGGTTTTAAAGTCACTAAAAGCTAGCTGTAAAAAGGCTTTAATAAAAAGTCTAAGATTAAGCTAGCAATTTCTGGATCTCAAAATTAAATAAACCTGCAATACTGAGAAATCAGTAGTGAAATTAGACATTCTGGGAGTTTAAGACACTTTTAAATATGAATTAAATTATTGTTCTTTTTTCTATGCTAATTGTTGTTTAAATTTGGATTCTAAAATGTTTTCAAGCTAGTGAAATAACATTTCCACACTTGTAGATATCATGTTTTTCCAAGTAATTTTTGGATGTTTCTCAAGATGAAGAAAATTTAACCACACCCTCAAATTAAATTTTGATTGCGTTTCAAGAGCTAGGAGCATTGTACACTTTGTGCTGGAAGTCTGGAATTTTTAAATCTATCTTCTGAACTTTGTGATACAATGTAGTTGAAGAACCCAATTGTTTAACAAAAAAATCAATTATCTGTAAATGGATTTAAACCTACCATTTAAAAAAAAATTAATTGTAAAAATCCTGTTCAGCTGGTGTGAATAATTTTTTTCATTCCCAAATGTCTTAATTTTGGAAAATGCCTTTTATTCAATATTTTGAAAACAAACCTTCTGATTATATTTACAATATTTAATCACAATATAGTGATCCAAATTATTATATATTTAACAAAATTTTAAAATTGTTTAGAGAGCTTGGATTATATACCGACAGCACTTGCTTTTTTTACTGCACTGTTCATAAAACAAATAAGATAGCTATACTTCAAAATCAGATGACAGGTTCTTGAGAGATTTCTTTTCACATAAGTGACGTTTTCAGGAAACACAGCTATTAAAGGGCCAATGCTTTATTACAGTTTCCAAGCCAGCTCTAGAGAGGTTTACATTCATTTTATCTCCTTTCTTTTCTCTCACGCATTATCCTTTTGCTTTGTTCTCTTCTCCTCTTATTTACAGGATTCCGAGGATCATAGATTTCAAAAGTATCTTCATCCTGCATGTTTGCATCTTTCACTTTTCTGCTTTTATCCTCAAACTGAAGTACATGTGACATCCTAAAAAAAAATCCAAACAATCATACATCAAACTTGCTGCATGAAAGAAGTTACATTAGAGATTATAAATTACACTGCCCCTGCTTTTTAAAATGTACAGTGGTGAGATGATCAAAAATACAAAAATGAATTTACTGCTACTTTATATCACAAGATAATTATTTTTATGGAAACAAAAGTATCAGTGTTATCTGATGGACTTTTATTTTTAGTATAGGGTCCCTTCATCTTGTTTTTATTTGCTGTACTTTCCCTGATGTACAGGCAGTCCCCGGGTTACGTACAAGATAGGGACTGGAGGTTTGTTCTTAAGTTGAATTTGTATGTAAGTCGGAACTGGTACATATTGTAGGAGAAACTCTAGCCAAACATTTCTCCAGAGCTCAGTTTTATTCTCCCACACCTCACTTCCCTCAGTCCTTTATTCTCAAGCTGAGGTGTCTGCTGAGAAAAGCCGCTCCGCGTCTCCTTGGTTTGCTGTGGGGGGGCGCTAGCTTCGCGTCTCCCTGGTCTGCTGGGGGGAAGCAGCTAGTGCGGGGTTGCCTCACCCCGTTTGTAAGTAGGGATCCGATGTAAGTCGGATCCATGTAACCTGGGGACTGCCTGTATTAAACATAATCTTCCCGGAAATTCAGCGTGTTTTTTCCTATTAGTCACTTTGGACCTTCCCTTTTAAATGGCTATGGTCTGCATAATTGTAGATCTTTTTCTGTTTTATACTGAAAACTCCTACAGTAAGCTCAGGGAATGCATTCTATAGAATCACATTAGTCCTTCTGTTCCACTTTAAACTGAGCATGCTTTCACATTCAAAAATAAACTTGGAAGGGCTTAGATTTTTATTGGTAAATGCAGGTAAACCCAAACTTCCCCATGCAGCCACCAACTCACAACAACATATTTCCATTGATAAACAAACTTTACAGGCAGGCAAAGTCAGAAAAATACTGCTTGAGAACTTAGGGTTTGATTGAAAAATACTTACTCTGTATATATGGCACAGTGTTTTAATACCAATAAAGATTTAACTGTTTGCATTTCAACATTTACAATCATTAAATAAATATTGTATGGCTCCCTTAATTTCTCTCAACCATAAAAATTTAAATGGATAACATTGAAAAAAATGCGTACATACAAGAGATATTTGTCAAAATTATAAAACAGAAAAGTTGAATTTTGCTAAGCCTTTTCTTAGATTAAACTCTGATGCTGCTCTTCAAGCCAACTTTTTCTTTCTACTGTTAATTTGAAATTTTAACCTTACTGATAGTTTTCAAGTTAATAAAATTCTCAGTGGTCTGAAAATATCAGCATGTTCTGGAGTCATAGGTATTTTATTGGCATATTTAGTGGCAGGAAAGCCTGGATTTAATCAACTCTGGTTTTATTAGCAGGTGTCACTGAAGTGGGAATTAGTATAGAAGATGTCAGAAAAATGAAATTTTGGACTAGCCAAAGTAAAATCTTAAAGTGAATAAAGTTCAATAGTTCTACTTTGCTGAAAAAGACAAAACAAATTGTGCATACTTACGACAAGTTTACCAGTGGTAAAACAATGATTTTTACTGACAAGTCAGATAATTTTCCACCTCACAATATAGTGAACTGGATGTGATGTGAACTTTATACATTTAAGTGGGTCTATGGTTGTAACATTTTAGATGAATAAACACCCACACCATTAATTTCTATTTCTTCCTATTCAGAAGAGAGATGTGCTATGCAAAGCAACTAATTTTGAAAAGGTAAAAAAGACAACTTTAAAATTTGAAAGTTCCATATAAAATGTGGTAATATTCACTGGCATTCAATGTAAATCAATGAACATAATAATGGAGTACACATAAATATGACACATAAATGTTGTGTTCCCTTTCCTGTCTGTGGATCCAATTCTGCAACCACTATTAGTTCACACTTTTGTGAAAGGTCTCAAAGTTTTGGGGCACTACTGGCAATAGCAAGAACTACACTTAAAGGAAATATCTTGTATGCTTTAGTCCAGGGGTCTCCAACCTTTTTACACCGAAGATCACTTTTTAAATCTCAGAACAGGCGAAGATCTACCGCCCCGCCCCTTCCTCGAAACCCCGCCCCCCGATTCTCCTCCTGTCCATCACTTGCTATCCCCAACCCTTATTTACACACTCTGATAAACAGTTTATTTTTAAATTATGTGATATATAATCACGTGTTTATAGTTATGAAATAAATGGTCTGTTTTTTATTCATGCTATTTAAATCTAAAATGAAGCATTTATAATTATACATTTTGTGGGGTCAGAGTTCTGCGGCTGGGAGTAGGGGAGAGGAAACAGGGTGCTGGGAGGGCAGAGGACAGGGTTCTGCATCAGGGGACAGGGTGCCAGTGGGGACAGAGTTCAGGGAATGGAGACAGAGTTCTGTAGCTGGGGACAGGGGAGTAGGGTCTGGGGAGTGGGGACAGGGTGCTAGTGGCAGCAGAGAGTCCCCTGCATCTGCCTCCTCCCAGTATTCGTCGTCCCCCCAAGGGAAGCCAGCACATGCCTCCTCCAGGCCCGACTCTCTCTTCCCCCCCCCCACGGGGCAGGGAAACCCCTTGCATGCCTGCCCCGGGGCCAACCCCCCTCCCGCGGTGCGGCCCACCCAAACCCCAGCGCAGGGAAACCCCTGCGCTCAACTCACCCCTCCGGCGCTGGCGGCGCAGGGAAGCCTCCGCACTCCTCCTCTGGGGCCGACTTCCCCTTCCTCAGCACACAACTGAACTGTGGGAGGGGAGCAGCTCGCGCACTTCCGGAACTCCCGGAAGTAACGCGGGCTTCAGACAGGACTTCTGTCCACCCCACAGGAAGCCTAGAGGTAGGTAGTGGGGCTTCTCGGGGGTGGGGGGAAAATGGGGGGTGGGGTTGCCCGAACGCCTCGCGATCGACTGGTCGAGGCCTTGCGATCAACCAGTCGATCGTGATCAACAGGTTGGTGACCACAGCTTTAGTCCATGCTAAGTTGTTAGTGAGGACTAAAAAAATCCCATTAATGCAAACCTTTAAAGCATATCCTCTCCCTACTTGTTGCAAATTCTGGAATCCTGTTTTCCAAATGTACTAATTTCAGTGCAAATTATGTTTTAGTGTAGATTATTGTTCATGTAGATATAATGCTGCTGCACACAATTTTGACAGTCCTCCTACAGTTTTACAATAATGCTTCAAGCAACTGTTTGAAGCTGCGTTGTGAACCTTTATCATCTTGCCCCCTGGAGAGAAAGGAGTGTGCAAGCAGCTTTTGTGGCCTGCCGCCATGATAGGAAACTATTAGAGGAGATCTTAAAACAGATGGCTGAACAGGGTAACTACTGGGATGTTCCTTAGTGCTGTATAAAAATTAAATAGCTAAGGCAAACATATAAAGACAGGAAGGACGACAGAAAAAAAAATATCTATTGTTGGCCATTTGACCAGTCCATTTAATAGATATGTGGGCAGGTATTTTTAGCTTGCATGACATGATAGAGACCAACAGCCGTGTGGAGACTCAATGCAAGAATATAAGACAGAGGAGGATGACGGGAAGGGATATTGAAGATGTCTCTCCAACAGTCAGAATTTCTTCAGAACTTGGAACCCCAAAAGTGGACCATGCAGGAAGCCAGCCCAATTCCCAGTTTGTGTCACAGGAAGAAGAGCCTACAGATCGTATCAAAGGAATCTTGACATGTAAGAGAAGGTTACTCACCAGGTGCAGTAACTGTAGTTCTTCGGGATGGCTGTCCCCGTGGGTGCTCCACCTTAGATGCTCCACTGCGCCCATGGTCAGCAGACTTCTGTGGTTGGCTGTGTGCGCGGAGCACTGGCATGTGACAGTTGGAATGTTCATCTCACGCACACACCCCACACCACCACCTCAGTTCCTTCTGACCCAGAAGGAGACAGATCCAAAGTCGAGGGGAAGAGGGTGAGTGGTGGTGCACCTACAGGCACAACCATCTCAAAGAACCACAGTTACTGCACCTGGTGAGTAATGTTTCCTTCTTCTTCAAGGAGTGTTCCCATGGGTGCTCTACCTTAGGCAACTATTAAGCAGTGTTCGTGTTCGGTGGAGGGTGCTTCAGCATTATTGACTCACTAACTGTGAGTACAGTTCTGCCAAAGTGTGTGTCCGTTTCTGCAAATGATTGTATTGTGTAATGCTGTGTAAATGTGTGAACTGAACCCCATGTGGCGGCTTTACAGATATCCTGGGTTGGGATTCCACTGAGGAAGGCTGTTGTCATTGCCATAGCTGTCGTGGAGTGAGCCCTTATGGTCGTGGGGGGTTCTTTGTTGAATATGTTTTAGGCCATGCGTATGTATTCTAATATCCACTGAGAAAGCCTATTTTGGATATGGGCAAGCTTTTTGACCTGTCAGTGGATAAGACGAATAGTCTTGGGGATTTCCGGCAGGACTCTGCAGAAGATAGAAGGCGATTGCTCTGCAGACGTCTAAGGTATGTAATGTTCTTTCTCTGTCATCTTTATGGGACGTCGAGAAGAAGACACGAAGGTATACTGGCTCATTACCATGGAAGGAGCTAATTACTTGTGGAAGGAATTTAGGGTGAGTTCAAAGTACCACCTTGTCCTTATGGAAGACTGTATAAGGTGGTTGTGTCATAAGTGTTCCTATCTCCCCCTGCTCCTTGCTGATGTAATTGCCACTAGGAAGGCTACCTTCATTGATCAGTGTAGTAATGAGCAGGGCTCGCCAAGCGGTGGTGAGCCCCACTCGCCAGCCGCATGGTTCTGCACTCTGCGCATGTGCAGATCGCTCTGCGCCGGCTCTTCTGGGGTGTAATCTACTCGCCCCAGGCGAGTAGACTACATTGTTTGTCGAGCCCTGGTAATGAGCATGTAGTGGCTCGAATGGTTTGCCCATAAGAGCCCTTAAGAGGAGGTTGAGGTTCCGTGCTGGAAATGGGTCTTGTTGCTGTGGAATGTGATTCGTAAACCCCGTAGGAACCTCTTGGTGGATGGGTGAATA